TCAAAATATCTTTCCCCTTGCAATGAGATCATAATTAGTATATGAAACAAATGTTTAGAGGTTAAAATGTAGTTTTGTGCCAAATAAGAGCATACATATTTTTTCGTCTTGAGATCAGAGATGAGGGCAGAGATCAAAGCGGTGTTGCGTTCAAAACTGCAGAAAGAGAAGGCGCCAGTGCAGAATGAGGGTGGAGATGATGATGAGGAGGGGAAACTGGAAGATGAGTAGGGTTGTTTTTTTAATTTGTTTGAGTATTAAACAATTTATTGTTAGCGAACATTTTTTTTTTTTATGTTGTTGAACTTTTCGTTTGATTTAATTCAAATGTTTTTCTTCTTTTTTTTTTGGTATATGATCTATGAGTTAATTAGTTACATTATCGTGTTGAATTGAGTTTTGATTGCACAGTTAAAATTACAAGTGTGTAGATTATAGCATTGGAAGAGGGCTTTAAAATTTTTTTCAACCCCCTTGATTATACGTAGACGGTTTTCCGACGTTCTATCGAACAAACAACATTTACAAAGCGCTACACTTTTTCTACAACCAAAGCATTAATGAATTCCCACAGTTAACGAAGATTGCGCGACATTTTACCGAAAAAACTGCACAACTTTTTTTGACTGAAGTAAAACACTTTTATACGAACATTTGTGTTCATTATGTAACTGACAGTCAAACTACGATTAAATATCTATGTTTTTGGATCTATATCGACGGTTATGGCATATTGGATACCAATCATTTAATGTAAACAATCACTAACTAAGGGCCCGTTTGGGGCAGCTTATAAGTGCGACAGCGTTTTGGAAACGTCGCCTTAATGTTTGTTTTGCGTGTTTTATGGGTTTTTTGTCAAACTGCATTTTATAATTTGTACTACACACGAACCGCGGATATACCCATGTAATCCGTGTTCAGCCTGGTAATGTTTTCTCCACTGCCCTCCCGAAAAGCCTAAACCCTTCGCCCTGCCTTTTCTCTTTTGCGTCGATCCTGCCTCCGTCGCTACAACCTTTTCGTAGGTAAGGAATTCTCTCATCTCCTCTCTTCGATCCTCCCTCCTTTGTCGAAAGTCTTCTTGTGTGTTGAATTTTACGGTTAATTTTGAAGTATTCATATAAGATGGCTAAAAAGCTAGATCCACTTTGATTAGAATGTTCAAAGCTGATAAAGATGTAGATCTGATGTTTTCACGAGATATTTGAAGCATTGCGAATGATTCCTGTGTTGTTCATGGTTTTTGGGTTAGTGTGGTGCTGCTGGAAAAAATTTTGAGGAAACAAAATTTTCCAAGTCGGATCTGTTCATATATGCTAAAAGAAATTTTACCCTATATTAACTTTAGAACATATCTTAAAAGCAAAATTGTTCTTTGTGGTTCTTTTCATATTAGGAGGGTTTCATGAGAAAAAAATAATATTTACTTGGAAATTGGGAGGGTTCTCTGCGGATCTGTTCATATTAAACGTTGGTGTTTCATTATCTAAATAAAATTTTTCTTTGAGGATCTTGCACTGATGTGTTCGTGCGTACCTAGAAATTGGGAAATTACAATCACTTGCTCTGATGTTCTCTGATGTTTTCGTAGATTTGGAAAGTTTCTTCATTGTCCAATTTTCGTAATTCATGAAGAGTTCAATGGAATGGAAATGATTTTAAGGACCACATTCTTCATTGCAATAATTTCTTCAAAAAGACTGCACCAAAAAATATTCAGTTTTTACATATTATTTTGGGAAATTGTATCATGAGTTATGGTACTTTGAGGAGTTTGTATTTCTTTTTTATGAACCTTTTCTGGAGAATGTGAAGCTTGTTGGAGAGACTCACAACATCAATCTATTGACATTTGCATGAGCCATATATTTATCTATTGTATTATTTTTTTTTTGTTTAGCTTCATGTACTCCAACCAATCCCATTGTAAATGTTGAAGAAGCTTAAATTTACGCCTTTGTTGTATAAGGTAGAGAAGATGTTTTTGAATACCCAATTATTGTCTTGCCCTAGCTTCATTGTACTCTAATAATGATGTATTAAGGATTTTTTGTGTATCTTCTGAATACTATTAATTTCATGCTAGCTCGTTTTCGTCACTGTCAATATGAGTAAAAGTAAAGAATTTGGATCATCTATCATGTGGGATAAAAAGACCACCCTAATATTTTGTGATATTTGCCTGATGGAGGTCGAGGTGGGTAATAAACCGACCACTTATTTTAATAAAGAAGGTTGGATAAATCTTATTACTAAATTTAAAGAAATGACTGAAAGAGATTACGATCGGATGAAATTAAAAAATAAATAGGATCAATTAAAAAAAGACTGAAAATTTTGGAAAGAACTGAAAAGGGGCTTAACCGGTTTAGGTTGGGATTCAATGAAACGGACAATTGATGCACCAGAAGAATGGTGGGATGACAAATTAGAGATAAATGCATACATCACTTTACTTATTACATCGATTTTCACATTGCAAAAATTCCTGCTAATGACTCCTCTATTATATTTCAGGCAGTTCCAACAGCAAAAAAATTCAAATTTAGTGGCATTGATCCAGTTTTGGAGGAGAAGTTGGATGGGATGTTCACTGACATTGTAGCTACCGAATCTCATGCTTTCACACCAAATGAGCAAGTTTTCCTGATTTAACATAGGAGATGGAAACCGAGCATATAGGTGAGCCGAGAGAAGGCCCCAGCCAAATCCACACGGATGTTTAATCTACTGGCGGAATAAGCGTGCTAGAGTGGAAAAGAAGAAAGTTGGGGCATCATTTGTCAGAGGTTCCATAGAGTCTCTACTTGAATGCTGGAAAGCGAAGTCTGCACCACCAACACCAAAGGACTGCTCAATTTAGGAGTGTCATAAAATTCTAAATACATATCTTTGTATTAAGGAAGATGAACATGTGTACTTAAAATATGTGAAGTTGCTAGGGAACTCCACTCGCAGAAAGTTCTTC